GACGTATAGAAAGAGCGTATGATAGAACGCAAGAAGAAATAAATAAACGTGATTTGAGGACATTTCCATTTTCACAATGCATATGGCGTACACGTGACGAAAACGGTGTGACTAGATACAAATATCACTCTTATCGAGCACCCCTATATCAAATCTTGAATAATCAATCTTTTAAATGTAAAGAAAATCTTTAGATGATGCTTAATTTTGTTAAATATACCATGAATATATAAATCTCGACCTGGTTTATAGATCTCGACCCGGTTTATAAACGTCCTAAATTTTTTCGATTTTTGATAAATTTAAAGTTTTTGAAAACTCATTTCGGACTCTACAGTGGTGTATGCCCAAAGGAATGGCTTAAACCTACTCCATCGTATGAGGATCTGGATGAATATCACTAATATCAATATCTTATCTACTCTCATTTAGCTAAAAAGAAAACCAAACTTTTTCATTGTGAAATATAATATACTACCACAAGACATATAATTTTTTTGCTTGGATGGGAATTGAAAGTCTAACAGACTTTGTTATACACCACCGTAGAAATTCGCCAAAATATTATATGAAACAACTTGACTGATCGCTCGTTTATCGCCATGATACATCAGGTGCACATTTTCTCAGTGATCGTGTCAAGTTAAGCATTGGCACTAAAATTATTGGTTCTTGACTACTAATCTACCAAAAGGAAAAAAATTTAGTTACTTCAATGCAGCAACCATCGAATTTTCTCTTTTTTGCAAAGGTCACGTGCATCTGGACCGATCAAGTTGAAGTCAAAGTGCTTCTATCAAAGTACAGAAACTCTCAATTGGTTAGTCTGATCTAGATTGTTGTTCGACGAAGAACTGTTTCCTCAATCGATTCTGCCGATGTTGTTGTTGATGTTGCTGCTGCTTCTGTTCGCTTTGCCTGTTGAAATAACTCCCTGCATGTTTTTGGATCAGCCATTATAACTGGTTGTAATATTGATGGCTTTAATCCACGTAGCGAGTGTAAAATCTTCTCGTTTTCTAACATGTCCATAGTTGAGTTTTGAGCATAATGATATAATATCATAATGGTAAGATTGTACAGCTTCATCAGGACGTTGACGACGATTGATAATTTTGGAATAAATTTTTAATTTATATCCAGATGATGTAAAGGTAGTGACAAAGTGTTTCTTGAATATTTCGTAATCACTACTATGGTTTTCACTACGGTACCATTTTTTAACATCTTCGCCAAAATACATTGGCAATAATCGTCGTCGACCATTTTTGTCAATTTTGGTAGCATCGAATAATTCATCAATGCCTTGTTGCCATGCCGTTGAATCTTGATCATCTGCACCTGTAAATGTTTCTATTGGTTGTATACCTTTAAGTAATAATTGTGTAGAGAAACTGGATGCCATATCGATTTGTTGTTGTTGTTGTGTTTTTCTTTCTTTCTTTTTCTCTTCCTATTGTTGCAGGTTCGCCTTCGCTTGTTCTTCAGATGTGGTTCTTGTAGACACCAGCTTGTCGCTTTGATGGATTAATTAAAAATGTTTGTGATGTTGGGTTGACAAACAGTTGACCAGTGCAGCAATGTAAGGTGTCTAACTCTAGGTCGCCGACTAGATGATAAGATGAGATGAATGTAGTTGTATATCACATGCTTTATTTGAACTGAAACCGGTCTATTTAGCAGAAGATTCTACAGCAGTCGTACCCAAAGTGACTTACAACGCAAAATCGAATACATTTGTTGGTTTTTCTTTTCCTCTCAATGACAATGGATTACCTGTCACTAACGCTTATTCCACTGACTCATTCACTCGTCTAGAACAATGGTTTTCTGATATTTCGAGATCAATATTACTCAATGCTTGTCTCATTCAACCACTTTCGCCTTCGTATAACAATACTCCACCTTATCTAATTGCAGCGTTTGGTACAGATAGCAAATTCAAATCGTTGGATGTTCTTTCTCATTGGTATCATACTTATCAGAAATACAAAGCCAAAGGTATCTGTATGCTTGGTTTCGCAACTGATTGTGACAGTCGATACTTATATGCAATGCGAACATCTCTTACTTTTTTTGCTAAATTTGCTTATGATGACCATCCGGAGTTGTATACAATTAATCTTCCACGTACATGGTCATGGTTTTTCATGCAGCACGAACTACTTTATATTTGCTTTCAGGATGCTGTGCATATATGTACAACGCTTCGAAACCGACTGCTTTCGAAAAATGCATACTTACTTTTAGGTCGTCAATTAATCAACATTCAACCATTTCTATATTTGATCGAGAATTACTCAAAACTTGATCATTCATTGGTATATTCTGATGTCAATCTTAAAGACAGACAAAATTATAGTTCCGCAGCGAAGATATCTGGTGATAATATACTTAGTTTACTGGAACAGATGCCAAATTCATTTGAATTATACATTTATTTGCAAGTATGTAGCAACTTATCTGGATCAAATATTACTCCATCTTATTCTTTTTTCAAATTAAAAATACCTAGGCCGAATCACAAAAAAAACATTAGAATGAATCAACTCAAACTTTTTCTAAGAAAAATAAAGAATATTTTTCGAAATCATGAGGTATTCTTCCAGTCTGATAAAGATTGAAAGGTGGAGGAATAGGATTTGATATGTCTTACGAGGAAAGGTCACCAACTGCCACCTCGCTTTTTAGCTCTAAGCTAGTGGGTAATAGGTAAAAAAATGTGCTGAATCCGAATATGACAATGGTTTGGGCCGCTAGGCCTCCAAAGACTGGATTTCTAAAAAACCAGTTTTCCAGAAACTCCAAAAACTCTCCAAAACTTTTCTTAATAAGTTAAAATTGTAGCACGCGAAATTGTGATCAAAATGAGACATTGCCCAGCTCTACATGACATTTCTTTGCAAAGTTATGAAATTTACAAGAAAAGCCCTAAATCAATTTTTTCCTTCTTATATTTGTAGCTTTGAGCTGACAATGAACATTTTGGCTTTTCTTGTAAATTCCATAACTTTGCAAAGAAATGTCATGTAGAGCTGGGCAANATTAAGAAATGTTTTGGAGAGTTTTTTGGAGTTTCTGGAAAACTGGTTTTTTAGAAATCCAGTCTTTGGAGGCCTAGCGGCTCAAACCATTGTCATATTCGGATTCAACACATTTTTTTACCTATTACCCACTAGCTTAGAGCTAAAAAGCGAGGTGACAGTTGGTGACCTTCCCTCGTTGGAAGCCTGATTATCATGTATTAGCCAGTAAGACAAAGTTATACTTTTTTTTTTTAAACTTTATTTATTTATTGATGAAACAAATAGTTATAACTAAGACAGGTCAAAAGAGAGCAAAGCCCCATTATTATCGTCCTGCCTAGCCAATAAAAATGAAAAATACTAAGGAAAATAGCAGAGAAAGAATGCAAATAAAAAAGACATAAAAGGAGAAGAAAGGAAGACGAGGATCGAGTGTGCTAAGCGATGCAGACCAAATTTCACATCATAAAGCTTTTAGTTGAAAGAATATATTCAATAACAGTACGGTACACTATCAAATACTTATCCTTTGAGAGGAGAATTTTAAGCAAGAGCAATTCACTACTTAGGGGTTGCGGCAAGTCCAAAGTTGAGAGTTTCTGTTCAAGATTATTTCGTTGTGATCGATACAACACACAATGTAGCAGATAATGATCAACACTTCCAGTATCACCACAGGTACAAAGATTAGCGAGACTAAGCTTTTAGTATACAAGTTTGCATTCAGTGGTGGAAAATCCACACGCAAACGATTGAAGGAGATATCTGCTATTCGATCAATACCATGCATTCGATAATGAAATATATTAATATTATAATAGATTCTCAGTTCAGTCTTAAATTTTTGTTTTTGGAACCAATTCAGCTTTACAGTATCGGGCAATGAATTCCACATAGAAGTTGTATAAGAGAAAAAAGATTTTTCTACACGTACAGACTTTAAGTGCAACTGTTTCAACTCAGGTCGATTGCGAAGCTAATAAGGAACTGAATCGGTTTTTTTAATATGTGCGCGCAAATATTCGGGCGTATTCGGGCCCGATAATATGTCTCTGAACAGAATAAGTTTATTCATGTCAAACGTGATCTTCAGATCAGACCAGCCTAGTATATCTAAAACTTTTTCTCTACTTGATAAGTACATGGATCCAGAAACCAGCAGAGCTGCTCGATATTGAAGCTGGAAAAGCGGTTTCAATACTAGCTCAGGTTCACCTGAGTAGATAACCCTACCATACGTCAATAATGAATATAAACGATTTATATAATTGTTCAAGAACCGGCGTTAAAAAAATACACTTAAATTTACTTATAGCTCCTAGAATTAAGTTACATTTTCTGATGATAAAAGAAATATATTTTCTCCAAGAAAGCAATGAGGAGAACCACAAGCCTAAGTGTTTATGTACCTGAACGAGGTTCAGGGTATAACCTCCCAACATTAATGACCCTACAGATAGTCTGATAGAGAAACTCATTGTTACACATTTTGGAAGATTTAAAGGTAAGAATCATCTTAAGGACCACTGATAAATCTTAGTCAAATCATCATTTAGGGTTGCGTTTGCAACTTGTGGGTCTGGATCACTACAATATAATAGAGTATCATCAGCAAACATATGTATCCTGCTTGATAAATTATAACCAATATCATCTACATAGACCAAGAAGAACAGCGGGCCTAAAATGCTTCCTTGGGGAACACCGCAGTTAATGGAGAGAGAGTCAGATGAGTGACCCTCAACGATTGTTACTATTCTTCTATTATTTCAATAGCTTTCGATCCACCGCAGAAGCAGCCGTGACGCACCTTTCCTCTCAAGTCTATATAGAAGACCACGATGCCAGACCCTATCAAAGGCCTTTTTGAAGTCAAGAAAAACAACCTCAACGTCCTTGGAAGATGCGCGATCCTCATAGATTGAGTGTACTAGCTCTACTAATTGATGGACTGTTGAATGTTTTTTCCGGAATCCACTTTGGAAGACAGAGAATAGTTTGTTTTCAGATAAGTATTGATAAAGCCTTTTATAAACCACTCTTTCTAAGACCTTGGACAAAGCTGGTAACAATGTTATCGGACGATAATTATCAGGAATAGTGTGGTCACCAGTTTTGAATAGAGCACTGA